AATCAGCACAGAAACAGTACTAAATAACATTTCAGACACATTCTAGACAGTTTATCAGCTAAAAAAAAGTTAATTTTGGGGTAAGTTTGTTACTCTTTAAACTCATTTAGAGACCCAGCAGACCTCACAGGCAGTGGGAGATTGTTCCAGAGCCTAGCCTTCTTGTTTTGTGTGAGGATTTTGTCCAAGACATGATTGGTCTGTTTGACTTTTGTGGGCGTAGTTTGTTAAAGACATGAGGAAGGTGCTAGCTGCACGAAATTTAAACAACATACATGTTTGGCTCAGTCGAAACAGCCCTGACTAACCTGTAAAAAGAAACTAAAAATGAAATGACTGAAAATTAGTCAGGAACAGGAATGTGTTTGCCGCATGTAATTTGAAGTCAATAAATCATATTTACATGTTCACAATCATTTTACTATTAGTATTACTTCCTCGTTAATTTTCCTTACGAGACAATCCGACCAATTACAGTTAGGACAAACTCCACCCACACAACAAGAAACTCCCCCTGTGTACTGCAGATACCCCTACTTGCAGATTTTTGAGTATTTTSAGTATGTTTAGTATTTGCTATTGCAAACTACTCTTTATTAAAAAGTTTAGATTTTATTTTGTGCATTAAAACAAATTCTATGAATTCTGCATTTAATTTTAGTCAACTTTATCATGGTTTTTTGTCAATTTAAGTTGATTTGCAAAAAAAGTTTACATCTTATATAACAGGCTTTTAATAGATTTTATTATGGTACTGGAATTAGTAAAAACACATCAGCATATTAAAATTAATTAGAAAACCTCAAGTTTTTTGTGGTAATATCAAGTTAAATGACAACAAAATGACAAAATCTAAATCTAAAATTTGTTTGTACTGACATTAAATAGCATGTTTTTATGAAAACATTTTGACTTTGTGTCTGCTGGTGCGTTCCCACAGGTGATGATTGGCACGGCTCTGAGCGTCAGCGAGATGAAGAAGCTTTTGGTTCACATGGGGGAGATCGAACATCCGTGGAACTGTCCTCATGGCCGGCCTACCATGAGACACCTCGTCAGCCTGAACATCCTCTCACAAAAKTGATGCTGGAAAAGGACAAACCGGACTTACTTTGTCTTGATGTGGCTGGATCATACCTTCAGTTTGGTTCAGCTGTGTCAGAGATGACTTCTTAGACATTTGTATCGCTTACATGATTAGTAGTCACTGTTTTCAGTTTAATATCTGTTTTGAAAGTTTGATTTTATTAGAATTTTGCACATCATGCATATTTTTTTATTTTAATTTCTAATAAATATATTTAAAAAAACAAATACAGCATGTCCTATTTGTATTAAACAGAGGCAATGAAGACAAAAAAGTTGTTTTGATCCCCACAAAATGTTTTATTTAAGGAATATTGGGAACAGAAAATTTTTAAAATACATTTTGATGGATATTTTTTAGAACATTAGCAAATATGATCTACAATATATTCAAAGATTCAGAGATCCAATGAAAAATATTTTAAAATAAAAGTTTATTGCAGTAACAGCATAAATTGTGTTGTTATGGTATATGGTATAATTGCTTATTTTACAATCACATTCTTAAATAAAATATTTTTTTTAAATTACAACTCTAAAGCATTTCAGTGTAGATTTGAATAAAATATCTTTATAATTCAATGTTTATAATTGAAAGTTATCAAACTCCTCTACAATTCTGTATTAAAATTAAAAATTTGCATTTCATCTTTTTTGCTTAAATGTTTTTAATGTTCTGACTAATATACATTAGCTGTGTCTCAATTCATGGGTTGCAGCTGACGTGGGCCGGCTGCTTGCGTTGGCTGCATATGTAAAATGGGACAGTCCCTACCCTAAAACGAGTAGTTTGTGTGCAGGAATAAGATTAGGACAAGAATTTCAACWTTCTGAGAAAAAAAAGGTCAGAAACGTGTATCTAATGATGATTTTACACCAATAGCTCTGACCTCAGTTTTGATGCAAATTTTTTTGGAAAGACTTATCAGAGATGAGATTCTTAAACAGACACAACAGTTTTAGACATGCAGTTTGCTTATAGGCCCACAGAAGAGTAGAGGATGCAACCCTCACTCTGTTAAAACTGCTTCCTAAACATCTACACTTAAATGGGACACATGTCAGACTTTTATTTGTTAATGTTTCAGCTTTTAATACAATCCAACCTCTTATTAATCAAGAAACTTGTGGAATAGTTTGATTTGTGTAACAATCTGGTGGGCTGGATCCTTTTATTTTAGAGTAAATAAGTGTCTCTGTGACTTTAAGCATTCTTCCACTGGGTCACCCCAAGGATGTGTACTGTCACCTCTACCTTTTATTCTGTACACAAGTGTGTCGGAGCAGATGTGACAACAGGTTCATTATAAAGTATGCAGCAGATGATTCTGTTATTGTCAGTCTGCTTAAAGGAAATGAAAGTGGTCATGGACAGGTGACTGATGACTGTTGGATGGTGTGAGGACTCTTCTAAACATTGATCAGACAAAATATATGATTATTGATTTTAGAAGAAAACCCCACAAGCATAAAGGTCAAGCCATTGAAAGAGTGCAAAGTCATAAATATCTTGGGACAGTTATAGATCATAAACTAAACTTTGAAATTAATTTTGTCACAGTGTGCAAAATGTTCAATTAATTCGTTAAATGCTTTGTCTCATTTTGCCTGCATAGTTCTGTAATGCGCTTTTTGACCTAAAGAAGTTGCCGTACTGTCGCCATGGAGATGGGAAATAAACAACCATTAAGAAAAAAAAAATCCGAAAGGTAAACACGGTGATAGTAGTGCTGAAAAGTGTGTCCAGAAACGAGGATAAAAAGCAAAACTCCGCAGGAAAAGGTGAAACGATGACATCGCTCGCAGATTTTGATGAGGAATGCGGTGAAGACGTCTTCRAACTCCCCGAAATTTGTCTGAAAATATTAAGGTACCTGCTTGATAAATAAACTGTACGAGTTTAACATGTAGTCGCATCCAATTTTCTACGGACGTTTGTGTCATTCTGATTAAAGGCACTTGGGTGAAACGTGTGAAGGACAGTTTCATGGCGAAGGAATCGCTCAGTTTGAGGACGGACACATGTTYAAGGTGCTCCAAATGTGTTGAAATTAGCTTCATTTGTGACAGAAATTAAACGAAATAACTTCTTTTGTTTGAAGGGGATGTTCTCTGGAGGACTWATGCATGGACTCGGGGTTCTCATTCTGGAAACCAGCCTGAAATACGAGGTGAGGTGACATGTCCATGTCAAGGCGCGCGGGCCAGATCTGGGCCACGTGACAATATTATCTGGTCCATTGAATAATAAATGTTAGGGCTGGCCTTCTAACCTGTCTCTTCTTTGATTTTGCTTTTTAAAAAGGTCCAAAAACATGGAGGCTTGGGCATGTATTGGGACAGGGGATATTCAACATTTTTTAATGAATAATTTAACATAATACTTTTTAAAAAATCAAGCTCTATGGAGGAGTTAGTCAATAAATTGAACTTGAAGTTGACCCTTGATTAAGCTCGAGCTTATAATTTCATCTCCTTTTCTATATCATTTGTTATATTTGCTTTAAGCATGTGTTTCATTATGTTTTATTTCTTTCAGCTGCTTAGACGCGACAACAGATGAGCTCACTGTCGCATTTGTGTTATGTCAGATGTTGAAGTGAGTTTAAGTGTCTGATCCAACAGGGAGAGTTTTCGTGCAATAAACCATCAGGCCGGGGCACCTACACCTGGATGGATGGCAGCAGCTATACGGGGGRGATCTGCTGTGGTCGACGACACGGGACGGGCTCCTACAAATCTGCCAACCATGGTCCTTCTTACGTAGGGCAGTGGGACCAGGATAGGAGGCATGGAGAGGTATGATTCTCTCTATTTTTATGTGTAGTTACTTTTTCTAATATATATATTTTAAAGGCGTATGGTTATAGGGTACAGTGTATTATAATGAGGACAAGACATCTTGGTACAAAGGACAATGGGTGATGAACAGCAGAGAGGGATCAGGAGTAAGACGGTATGGATGTCATATGTAAATGCACAATTTGTGAATTTTAGCCCAGGGAGATAAAATCTGTTTGTGAACAGCTACCCCTCTGGTAACACTTACTCTGGTGAGTGGAAGAACAATATGAGGCATGGCGAGGGCACCATGAATTGGCTGAAAGAGGGACAGCGTTATGAAGGAAGATGGGAAAATGGAGTCCAGGTAGGAAATTTCTTCTTTTTTTATTTTATTTTTTAATTCTTTTAAAGGAACAGTCATGTTAGAATATTTAAAAATGTAATTGGGCATCTAAACTGGATTTTTTTTTTTTTTTTTACCAGCATGGTTTTGGCAGGCACGTGTGGATCGTAGAGCGAGCAGATGTCTCCCAGTATTTCCAGAGCAACCAGTACAAGGGGAATTTCTCTGAGGGTCAGAGGCACGGAGAAGGGACTTTTTACTACGCTGGCGGTGCCGTCTACACAGGAGGATGGAAAAACAATAAAAAACATGGACAGGTGAGGCCAGTAAACGTTGCTGTCTCACGTGTGAAAATGTGACAAATGACAAAGTTTTTGGTTACATTTTGAAAATCGTTACGTTTGATCTCATGTCATACTGTGAGATCTTGACTATCTGTTTACACTTCGAGTACGTGTTGTGAAKAACTCTCTTCTAYTGTTGTTTGAATTTTATTTATTTAGAAGGGACAATGCACATYWATCAACATTTCTGTAAATGTGCCAGAGTTARCCACAGGCTAATTTTCATCTRTTGTCCCTGGACTTGCTATAAAAATAGTTAAACACAGTTGTCTCCATCTCACCCAGCATCTTACTGATGGGTTTGTAGCCTTTTCCAGCCTTGTGCAGATCTATGATCTTGTCCCTGACATTGTTAGACAGCTCCCTGGTCCTGTTCATGTTGCAGAGGTTAGAGTCTGACTGAGTGAGTCTGTGGACAGGAGTCTTTTATACACGTGACAATACAAAACAGCTGTATTTAGTGCAGGTAACGAGTTGATTAGGAGCGTCTAACTGGTCTATAGGAGCCAGAACTCTTAAYGGTTGGTAGGGGGATCACATGCTTTGTAATACTCTGCAAAATGCAAATAAATTTATACAATTTATAAATGGTGATTTTCCGGATTTATTTTTATTGTTTTTATTCTCTCRCTGTTAAAATGAACCTACTCATAAAATCAGAGACTGTTCATGTCTTTGCAAGTGGGCAAGCTTGCAAAATCAGCAAGGGATCAAGTAATTATTTCCTCCAYTGTATCTAGTGATTATTTTCTGAAAGTCATGAAGTGGTTCATCAGATATTTTGCTAACATACAAAATAAGAGTGTATATTGTGATCTTGAGTTGTTTTGTCTTCCTGCCTCAGGACTAGAGATGTAAAATAATAACTATGCTATAATTTGGCTCCTTTACAGTCTATACAGAAATATAGGGTTGTTCATTAATTTGCAGTGTCCTGATTTAATAAACAAAACAAACACACAGATTAACCATTATCATATTTCTTTCTTTTGTGTAGTTATTTACACATACTGTAAAAAAAATAAAAAATACTATTTTTTTAATATAAGTGAATGCATTCTGGKTTGTTTAGGGTAAATTCACTGCCACGAATGGACAAGTGTTTGAAGGAGAGTTTGTGGATGACCGACTGATGAGACCCAGTTTAGCCGGAACTGGAACATCATGTGGTAAAATTATTTTCTAGTAACAATAATCAATAAACTCCAAAGATCAATGAGCTTGTGTCTCATTGCAGACATGCTGAATGTGTTGGACAATGCTAATAGTGTGCATTGCCAATGCAATGCACACTATTGTGATTCGTTTCCCATCCAAGTCATCTCAACTTTGGCATGCTTCTCCTCCTGCATACTTTGTCCTACAGCTCCATTGTAATTTATATCTGTAAAGCCCCTGTGCCAAATGATGGCTATGCCTTTTGGTGCCTGTAAARCYTATAGTTTATGAAATATTAATGTTTAATGAATTATAATAGCAGTCAATGGAGCCTTTTWTTGGTCCAATACTGSCCCATGCTGTACTCAMCKTGGTTCTGCACCATAGTTTAATATTTCAACTCAGTAGTTCAGTGTTTACAGTACTAATATGATTGTATTTTGATGTTTTACTATAATATTGTCTTAATACTGCTCTATTTCTGTAATATTATGCAGTTTAATGTCAATAATTGCATTGGCAAGGTAAACTCTTTCTGCAAACATACAATCCAAGCCCTGGGATTGTCCTCTGCCACAGCTCCTAAAGTGTCATGGTGAACACTGTGGGATTTCATTCAGGAGATCAGGGTTCAATCCCAGCTATGAACAAACTGTTTCAGTAAAACTACATAATTTCAGTTTATTATATTGTCACACAATTACCCTTATTACAAACACCTGCTGACTTGGCAGGTGTTTGACTGATAATAATTAGAAAACACATTTGAACTTGGTCACACTTCATTCTGCAAGTCCAATGCTGCAGGCAAAGCCATGCTACGTGGCAATGCACACTTGTTTTTACATCGTAAAAACCCATGTCTAGTTCATGTTGTTCTTCATTCCAGACGAGGCCAGTTCTGCAGAGATCCACTCTCCTTTCACCCCCATGCTTCTTCGGGAGTTCCTCAGTAGACTTGTGATTCTGGCTTTCCACATCTACAAGAAAGACATGATGTGAAGAATAAAACCTCTACTGTTCTACAATCATCTTAATAATTACAGTATTCTGATAAAACACTTTAATGGTTCGATGACGACGATGGATAATCTTCAGGCTTTGAAAAAACAATAATAGCTGAAATTGCGGGAAAAAAATGAATTCTGTGAAATATGCTGAGTTGGAAAACACAAATGGTTTTTCTACTTCCAGGTCTGAAAAGCACCTTCTGGCCTCCTGCCTCACCAAACTGTTGACCGAAGATCTTCTTCCGAACGCCACAAAAGTTAAAGGTGCAGAAACCTGCGTTTAATAATATCCACTCAGGGTCAAGACTTTTAAATAGAAAAGGAAAATATAGGAATACAAAAACATAACAACAGATAAGTAGACGTAATAAAATTAACGTTTCATTTCTCAACATAACATCTTAGGCATGAAAGGTAGTGTGTGGTACGCATTCCTTTGAGGAATTCTTGGTCTTTTCTATTGTGCATTCTTGTTTTTAAACCTCAGTAGTCATCTCTCTTATGAGCCTTCAGTTGAAAACTAACAAACAGAATAATGTCTAAAAATAACCACCACCACACACGGTCCAGTTCATCAGTAGTTTGTTTGTAGTTTTACTCTCTGGCTCTGCATTGTGCAGCAATTTAAAGCCGAGTTCAACAACTTGAATATCCCTCGAGCCAGGCTTCCTGTTCAGGCAGCGAGATGTTGCCCTGGAGGCCTTGAAGTACACGGAGAGGTGCTGGGACGTCTTCGAGGTGTTCTGCGCTGTCAACACGTCCCGCCGAGACGAGAAGACCGTGACCTGGAGACAGCTCATGTGGATGTTTAAGGTGCAGCTTCTCGTCTCTGCCTGCAGAGTTCCTGCCCTGTTTGAACTGATTTAATTTACAAGTGCTGTTCGAAATTATCTTCCCATTTTAGTTTGAAGATMATTCCAGTACGATGTGTGTTTTTAAAAAAAAGATTTTAATGAGTGTCTTTCTGCACAGGATCTGCGTCTGTTCGATCAGCAGCTGACAACAACAAAATTTATGGAGGTCAGCACCGCAGAGTACCGTGACATCAACAGATCGGCCTTTTTGCAACAACAGGTTTGTTCTTAAAACCAGTCAGGTTGTGGTGTGTTTGTCGCTGCAGCTGTAGGCAGAGCTGTTTCTAGACACCATGGGGCTCCAGGCAAGTGGGACAACCGAGGTCCTGTACACACTACATCCCACTTTTAACTACATTAACCAGAGTCACGTGAAAGAATTATGATGTAAACAGCAATTATTAATTATTATCATGTTTCATATGGTCGTTGCATTTGGCCACTTCACCACCGTCCCTCAGGGGACCACTTTTACCTCGGGACCCTAGGCAAATACTTACCYTATCATGATAGCACTGGCTGTAGGTCAGGGGTCTGCAGCCTTTACAGGTCACAATTTCAGTAAGTTCAATTTAAGACCTTTTAAGACCATTAGGAATGACATTTAAAACCAAATCGACGCATTAACAGAAACATTCAAATGGTCCCAGAAATTTTACAATAGAAACCTTTTATTGCTATCAATTTACTTATTAAAGAATATTTAATTTTAATACAAAAAACACTAAATTATTTGAATGAAACGATCATATCTGACTGCTGTGAACCGCTTTCAACCGAGTGAAAAAAATCACTGATATCAAGTCAAGTCTTATTGAAAACACACTTTCCCATGTTTAAACAACAAGCAGTGGACATGACTGAACTTCTGTTTTTAGAGCAGGTAGATAAGCCACTGTATGTGGGGGGTTGTAGCGGTAAAGAGGTCAAAAACATGGAAGTAAACTGACAGTTTTGCCTGCAGTTATCATGGGATTTGTAGTTTAATCATGACCAGTAACAAACTTAGCTCTTCATGAAGACAGATYGTGTCAACCTCCGATTACRACTTTTAACTTTCTTTATTTTTGCAGCCAACGCTTCTCAGGAATGATCAAAAGCAGRAAAAATTAAGACTTGACAAAACTAAATTTAAGACCTTGGATGAAAATTTGGGTGTTTTTAAGATTTTTCTAGGCCTAAAATTTGGATTTTCAAATTTTAGACTTTTTAAGACCTGGCAAGAACCCTGAGTTCAAACAGCCATTCTGGTCCTCTTCCAAATAAATACTATTTGCTCAGAGCTGCTAAAACTCAGCAAGTTTTATATMAACACTACATACAAAAATCATAGTTTTTGACATCAGGAAATTAAAAATCTGYAATAAACTGTTCACTGCATCTGCTTATCTATACAGGCCTGTGTAAATAGCAGCTGAATTTGTGGGAAAATTTTGTATATACCACGTAAAACAATAAGGCATATGAAAGAAATACACAAAAAAGTTGTTTGTTGAATATTTGATTGGGGATAAAATTTCATTTACTTAAAACGTTTTATCTAAAGTTCTCGTCAAAGGCAAGGTTGTAATCTTGGATGTAATCAGAATGATTGGCCATACATTTGTTGTTTTTCTATTCCTGATTTCCATGTTAGTTTTGGTGGAAGCTCCAAAGAGCTGCCCGGTGGTTCCTGAACCCTGCTTTATCGTTCACCCTTCTTCTCTCCTCTAAACGTCTGCTGTGATTCTCGGCTGCAGATCACATTCCTGGAGTTTTTCGAATGTCTTCTGGGCTGTGCAGAGGTGAAGCGTCAGCAGGTCTGTGATGATCCGGAGAACCAGGTCCTGTTCAGATCTGAGGACCAGATCAGAGGGAATCTGCTGAAGGATGAGAACCAACAGGTCAGATCCTCTGCATCTTTTATCCATTTTACAATATGTGGGCATTTTGTAAATGTTTTTTTTTCCTCCTGAAAAGATCAAGATTTCTTTTTATCCAGTTTTGTTGTAGACAAATGTGATGTAATTTATTCCAGACAGGAAACATCACTGCTCAGGATGTGGCAAGTGGAGAAGAAGTCAAAAGTCAAGAAATACCTCAAGTCGAAGGTTTGGTTTGTTATTTTAGTAATGCTGTACGTACGTATCTTTTAGTATATTTAAGTACATATAATCAAATATATATATATTGCACTATTAGCTTTAGCTTGTAATCATGTCTAGTAAATCTGAAGATCACTCATGACTTGTTAGGGTGAACTTGAAGGAGGTAAATCAACAGAATTTCCCTGGTAAAAGGACCTTTGGCAATTAAAAACTAATACTTTTGTCTAACAAGATTTCTTTTCTCTTTTAGATCACACTGAGCATCAATATGAAGTAAAAGATGAGCCACAAAGCAAAACGGAAGCCAAAACCCCTCAAGTAGAGCTCCTCATCCTGACAAATCGATGGTTTTTTGAGGAATATTTCCTTCCTGCATTTAACAATTACCAGTCAGTGACAAGAGAGATGAGGAAGAACCAGAGCAAAGAACTGCACTTATAATCAATTCATGCTCATAACTGTTGGTCTGTAAGGTTGACATTAAATATGAATAAGCAGAAAAACACACAAAGAAAGAAGTCATTTGTTCTGAAATTTTCACAGTTGAAAATCAAAACCATAAATCTACATTTAAAGCAAGTGTTTGTCGTTGTTTTATAATTAAAAGACGACAATTGGACATCCTGTTTGAACTTTATTTATAACTTTATGCAAAACAAAAATATTTTTTTACTACTCAAAACAACTCAGTCAAAAAAACACGGGTTTAAAAGACAGTATCAAAGTATATTCATGTAAAAAACAAAACAAACAAACAAACAAAAAACAAGGCATCAAAAACAATCTTTTAATTTTTTTGACATTCTCTGTCTACATGTTGGMAGGTGGGGTGAAGACCATAAGGTCCCTGGGACAAACAGACTCCCGTATCCTGTCCCTCATGTCCGGGGTGAAGAGGAGCAGGTCGGACTCAGCAGTCTGGACCTAAAAACAACAGACATCTTTGTCAGCAAAGATGAGATGCTAGTGAAGAAACAAATCTGACTTAGARACGTTGATTTGAATAAATATTTGGATCTAAAGGAATGAAAAGTAGAAGAACCTCAACCTGTGGTGATGGAAGAGTAAAGACTGAAGACACCGCTGTGAATGCTGTGATGAGCAGAAAAAGAGCCAACATTGAGGTTTTCATCAACAATCAGATAAGCACAACTTTTTTCTGTAAAAACTGCAATATGTTCCTAAACCCCAACTCTGAAAAAGATGGGAAGTTGCAYAAAACGTAATGAAAGAAGATGCAGTAATTTATGCATCTAATAAACAGAATTTATTCACAGTGAATAAAAAAAGTGTGCAAATCTAGATGTGTGCTTAAACCTAATCTAAATGTCTCTTGTAGTTACTTTTATTTTATGTTTAATTTGAATATAATTCAAAGACAAAGTAAGAACCATGGTGCACTTCTATCGTCTGCACTAACATTGTTGGAATGAAASTGGAAATATAGTTTTTCTACATAAGACAGGAGATTACAACCTTATAGCCAGGACAATTGCTGGTGGGCCAAATCACATGGCTTGGCCCACTCTGAGCACCTCTGCACTAAATGATTTAAACTAGTGAGAGGTCTGGACTGCAGCAGGTCAGTCATGCTGTTGTAATTGATGCAGAATGAGGTTTAACCTGGTCTTGCTGGAATATGGAAGGCCTTTCCTGATAATGACCTGATCTGGAGGGGAGCAATTGTTCTAAAAYCTGTACATAGTTTTCTGCATTGATGGCACCTTTACAGATGTAGAAGTTGTTCATGCCATCTGCCTTTCTGGATGGCACAATGAACTGTGTTTACAATGACTTGTGGAAGGGTCTGAAGGTTGTAGTTGTCTAATATCAACCTTCAGCTTGGTCCTCTGAGCACAGAGATCCTCCAGATTCAATCTTTTGACGACATTATGAACTACAGATTTTGGGATACTCAAAGTTTTCTGTTGACAAACACTCTGAAAGTGTTCCACTACCTTTAAATTCAGTTTTATTGTTGTCTGATGAACCTCTGCCCATCTTTACCTCTGAGAAATTCAGTCTCTTAAAAATACCCTTACCTCTCTTACTGACAACAGAACTCGTAAAATCTCATCCACCTGTTTTTTATGCACACTGTTTACTTTGACATCCTGTTGTTGCCTCATTCCATTGATAGGTTTAATAAGCTTCACTGCGAATAAAATTTGGATTTATGAGTTTTGCAAATCGTTGCATTCTCTTTTTTATATACATTTTTACAAAATCTCCAAATCATATCAGACTTGGGGTTGTAGAAATCCCTGCCTGCAGCAGCTTTATCCAATCCAAAATCCCAACTGGATTCTGAGTGTGTGCCATACCTGGCTCCTGCTGCATGAGAAGTTCCTCAGGTTGCCCTCGGGGACTCTCCATCTCTACGTCTGCTCTCTCAGGTGACATCATCTCTCCAGCAGCCGCATCTCTTGGTGACAGGCTGCATCTTTGTGAAGGCTGGAGGTAGCGCTCAAAATCCAAACCAGGAAGTTCCTAAAGGTACAAGAAACAATAGTTGCAGGAGCAAATAAACAACACCTGTCCTGGCGGGGTGAACTGACTGCAATAAAACAAAGAAAGGTCAAACTGTTCACCTCAGTGACAGAACTATTGGGCGTGTGACACACAGACTGCTGGGCCTCCACAGCAGGAGAGGAGGCRGGTGCGTAGCCAGGAGATCCACGGGGCGACAGCGTGAAACTCAGAGAGGATGGAGGCTCGGGGGCCTGCAGGACCGGTGGAAGAGTTTTGCTTGTGGTGATTGCTGCTTTATTGTCCTCCTCCTCTGCAGAAGCTTCCTGCATACAGACACTTTCTGACTGCTGTGTGGGGCTCTGCTCAGGCTGGGCCTCGTCTGAAAGCACTTCCTTCACAGGTGAGAACCAAAGGGAGGGGTTTACCGCATCCCGTCGGCTCTGAGGAGTGCAYGGCCGAGACCTCGATGCTGGAGTTTGCTCCAGGGTGAGGCGGGGTTGCCCTGGAGAGTGGGCGGGCTGAGCAGGAGAAGGCTTCGCGCTGACGGGAGTCCGGGCCAGCGCGAGGGACCTGYGAGTGGCTCTTCTGGGTGAGAGCAGGGAGCAGGGAGACGCCTGAGGAAGCACGGCGGCACTCGGGCGGCTCGATCTCCGAGCTGGAAACACAAATATGGCACTGAGGACGAATCCTGCAGCTCAACCCGAAAGGAAGGAGAATTCACAAGCAAAGAACATAAAACGTCATTTCTCTGACCTGGTGCCTTGGCCGGGCTCTCCACCTTAAAGAAACCTCCATCAAAGACGACAGTTTCCAGAGTTCTGTCCGCTGCCTGGGCTTGTGGCTCCTGAGGGGCGGGGTTTTCAGCGTTTGCTGCTTTCTCAGCCTCAGCTGCCTGCTGTTTGGCTCTCATAGCAGCTTTTACAGCAGCCAGACGAGACTTAGCCGCAGCTTTGGTTCCTGCTGGTTTGGCAGGTGGGGCAGCTGGTAGTTTCTTAGAACAGAAAAACACAAACAAAAAAATACTTAGTTGAAGATTTGAGATGCAATTACAGGGTTCCTACAGTTTAAAGCAAGTGCAATTTAAGATTTTTGATTGCCGAGTGAAATTAAAATTAAGACCAATTTCATAAACACAAATGACAAAAGAATAAAAACTGGCAGAAACTCATAAATCAAAGTGTTTTTGGTTGAAGTAATCTAATATTGCTAATAGACCAATTGTTTTTATCCATATCTAACTTTAGCAGAAACATTCTTAGCAGTCAGTTTTAAACTTACGATTTCCAGAAATTAAATTAACGACCMAAAATTTGGAGTTTTAGGACCCACAGTGGGGTCTAAACCCCAACTTGCTGTAGATGAAACCTTAAAGTGCCTGTGACATTAAATGTTTGTAAGAAAAGTGAATGCATTTTTGGAAAGACAACATTATTAACATATTAAATAAATTTCTCATTGCTCAGATGGACGGTTGTTGAGATATTTACATGTGAAATAACAGGAAGTGATGTCAAAGGGGAATGTCTGCATGCAAATATTAAAAAAATAAACATTACCAATTATTTTAATATATGAGATGAATTACAATCATCCTATTTACAATGTGTTCACATTTTTAAGACTTATGAAAGATTGATTTAAGACATTTTAAGGCTAATTAAGGCCTTAGTTTTAGATTATGAATTCAATGACTTTTAAAACTGTTTAATGATCTGCAGGAACCCTGGATTAAAAAGCTAYTAAAAGTTTGTCCTTTGTATGGTTTCTATAAGTTTTGACTTTAGTCCTTTCTAAAACAGGCAAAATTTAGATGCAAATAAAATAAACATTTTAACAAAGCAACATTTTGGAGTCTTCACCTTTACTATTTTCTTCTGGCGTGGAGGAGACTTGTGCTCCTCCACCCAGCCTCGACCCTCTGCCTCTTTGAGTGCTTCAAACTTTTTGTTCACGTCTTCCACCTGGCAAAGACCAAAAGATCTCACAATCAGCCTTCATGAAAAAAAAACAACAACTTTGTCTCTTACAAGACACCAACCTGGAAATAAACCATGTCCCAGAATCCCTGCAGGTCGGTGCAGGTGGTGATCTTCTCCCCGCGCCCCAGCTCACAGTCGTCCACCAGTCCGCTGAACTGCTTGAAACGCTCCTTCATCAGCAGCCTCGCCTGACCCACAGCCGTACGCATGCCATCCCTCACTGCCCGAGAAGAGCAACAGCGCCACTTTGAGTCCTTAGTTCCACATTCAAAATGTCACTGTTGGTTAGCAAGAAGCACTCACTTTCTTCTGGAATGATCTCATCATCCACTTTAGCCTCCCAGATGTGACAAAGAGCCGTCAGTCTGTCTGTTTCATTGGCGATCTCCGATCTGAACAGATTAGAGTCAGCACAAACACGATGCACGGTTTGTGTTTAAAAACCGAACCACAGAAAGGATGATTAGATCAGGAACAGAAACAAAAAGAAAAAGAAAAGTACACCACCTGAAGTAAGGTACATTGTGTTTTGATTCCAGGGGATTTCCTGGAGTCGGAGGAGCAACTGCAGGAGATGTATGAGGAGTCTTTGGAGGCGTGGCTTCACTGGGCTGAGGCTGCAGCTCAGGCGTTACCACCGAAGCTGGAACGTTAAAACTGGAACTGGATAAAAGAAATCACATGTCAGCATTTAGAACCTGAACAAAAGGGAGTTTTAAATCCGCACGATGGTTTAAACATGGAAAAGAAACACAGACCTCGGTGTCAGGAAGGCGTCGGCCGAGCGAGGAGTCAGGGGCTCAAACTTAAAAGACGACATGCCAGCAGGAGCCTGGAAGGTAAAACCTTCCGGAGCAAAAGACTGACGGACMGAGTTCCTGACAGGAACAGAATCCTCTGGAGCTTGGTCCACTGCCATGTCTTCCTCCTCRGGACAGGGCTGTGGGCTGGGAGGACATAGTGTTTCCTCCTGGTGCTCCCTCGGTTCTTGCTCCTGTACACGCAATAAAAAAGGAAAATAGCAACCAACATAATGCACCTTTATTTTAAAGCTCCTGTAGAATGCAGTGTGAAATATTCAGCGACGCCTCACCTCGACGGCAGCAGTGTTTGTGGTGCTTCTCGCAGCTGCAAAGACGCCAGTGGGGTTTAAAACAATTCAAACTATTGATGTTCATAAAGCAGTGAAGAAGTGAGGTAGAATCTAAAAAGTACCTTTACACTTCTCTCCTTCACCAGAGGGAGGAGGCAGAGGGTTGACAACAGCTCTGGACCTTGTTGTTCTCACATCTGAGGGCAGAAAATAACACTTAACATGCTTGCAGTTTTCTAAAAATAAAACAAAATAAAAAAAAGCTGCTTTCTCCTACATTGAAATATTTCTCTGACAGCAAACCAAAGAGTGATATATTTTTAGATTAACAAAAAAAAAAAGAAAAAAAAAAAAGAATGGTCACGTACTTGCAGCCCTGGCTTTACGATCATCTTTCGTCACAAGAGCTTTTGTAACGAGAGACGTGCTGGCCGATATGGTTGAAGCTCGTGTGGGAGCCTGGACGGCAGGACAGCCTGACACAGAGACACAGATTGAGATGCAAATACAGAAAGACAATAGCCGGTGTCGAGGTTCAGTCATGTCCCGGGATTCGTGCCCTCATTAGTTACCTGCACCGGCTCTGGCCTGGGCAGCAGCTGCTTGAGGCTTGACGACAGCGAGGCGGGCTCTGGTTGATGGTTCTGCTGCAGGTTGAGGAAAGAGTGGGACGTTAAAATACGAGGCTTCAGCTCACCGTTTCATAAAGAGGCATTCAGCTCATTTACCTCCGTTTGCTGGTTTCTGCAACGTCAGAGGCTGYGCAGACATTGGCAAAAGAAAAATAAAAACAACAAAGTATAAATTAGATTATATTCGTTATCAGATTGTACAAAGACATCAGAAAATACTGATTTAAAATTTAACACCCCCACAAAAAACAGCACCTTTTGTGCTACTTGACGCTGCGTCATTGAACGGGTGACTCTGGTACTCTGAGATGTCACCTTTTTCTGAAAGACATGAAAATATTTTACTGAAATATAAATAGCGAGCCCCTCCTTTTTTAAATCCTTCATTACATCAAACCAATGTAGAAGTGAGTGGTGCAACAACGATATGCTTGCATTAAATAGTGTACCATTACCTCCTTCAGTCTGGATGAAGTAGGTTGGACTGAGGGCAGCAAGGAAAAGTTAATGGTGTCATTTGGCTGATAGAGGCCAACTTTAAATACTCCTTTGCGCTCCTTTTCTCTCTTTTCCTTCTCCTTCTCAAGGGCCTTCTGTTCTTTCCAGCGCTCGAGCCGTTTCATTCTCTCCTCTTGGGCAATAGCTGTTGGAAAATAAGCATTTGATTACGCCCATCTTACTTTGCATTTGTCGATTTCAAAACATTATAGGTGAGTGTTATCACTAGACAGATCATTGTACATTTGTGTGGGGTTGCTTCAGCTGTTGCTGTGTCTGAAACAAACAAATCAAGCCCTACTTTTAGCAGTCTTGGTGGAGGTCTGCTTCTCTTGAATAGTCGACATGTTGACTGTTGCTACGGAGACATTCAGGGACGATGTTTCCAGCTCGGGGAGTTTATCCAGCTGCCTGCGTGTGTTCACAGTCCGTTCTCGATTCTCCTTTTGGGACTGAGACCTCCTGCGGGACATTTTCACCCTCAGCATCGAGACGCTCGTGTCCCGCTGTCGGTGGCGAGAAAACCGAGATTCCATGTTTATCTGAAGTAATGACAAAAAAGGAAAAGCAAAACAAAAATATATTAACAAAGGCACAGAAAACATGAAAGACATTTACAATCAGTCAACTGTTACAGTGACACAACTGGCATGTTAATAACAAGCACAAATGAAGACAAAAACACACTTTTATAGCAATATTTTTACAGTCATGATATTTTGAGGTCCCACACACGAAACACAAAGTTTATCTTCATAAGTAGCATGATGGAACATAAACTTTTTATTATATTTTAATTTAAAAAAGGCTTTTCTTTAGGTTTTCCAAATCAATAAGAAGCACACAAGACTAGATGTGATGCTGTTATTTTATGTTGATAAAAATGTGCATTTTGGCTAACTTATTATTGTTGTTCATTGGTTAACATTGTCCCTTTTCACTGATAAATAAATCTGTTTCACTTTAGTGCATCGAAAGCGTCTGGACTCTATAAGACAGGTAAACAACTTCTCCACAGACAGTATWATACAACACARTAGAGCCATGTTCACCAYGTACTGGATGATGAAAATCAACAAKAAGAGTATGTTATAGTAAAATGCATGAGGTTCCATTATATCCATGTAAACATGTTTAGATAGAGCAGCGAGTCATTAATAGCCCGGGCTGTGAAAGGTTTTAATGTTTTATTCTTAAATACATAAGTGAATTGTGATATTCGAGGCTGACAATTTAAAACTTTTGACAAGAAATCGCAAATATTACAGTCAACAGCAGCACCCAAAGCACAAAAACGAAGAACAGAGAGAACAGCTAACAAAACTAAGCTAGCAGAGCAGTTAACTTCCGAAAGCTAAGGTTAAATCGTTTTATTTGGCTACCAGTGACCTACAATGAATAAAAACGCACACATTACCTGATTTGATATATTTTCCTTTTCCTTCTAAACAAAATACTTATTTAAACGTATTTTAGCGGACAAGCTAAACCCAAGAAGCTTAGCACAGCCTAAACAAACCCAACTAATGCGTTTGAGGGTTTGAAAATAGCACAAGAGCCGCTGATTGGCTGTCAGTCAGGAGCCTCGCTCTCTGATTGGTTCTTGTTCTTCTTCGTGACAACTGAACGAAGAAAGGCGGAAAAGGATTCCTTTTGGCAAGTTCCGGTTCATTTTTGTGTTGGGGAAAACACACACACACACACACACACACACACACACACACACACACAC